ACATGAACAATTGGTTTTTGTCGATTTCATAATCAATGTCAGTGCTTCGTTACACAAAACCAAAAAAAAAGAGTTGCTACAGCAAAATATCTCCATTAAGGTGAACTATTATTGATTGATTTATTTTTTTTGAGGAAGTTATAGCCATTGACTGACTTATCACATCAGTCGTGTTTGATCAACACTCTATAAAAAACAACAACAACGCTGCGGCTTTTTATATTTAAACGTTTAGTTTAGTTTAGTTTGGTTTAATCGCATTGCGTGATTAATAAACTCATTTAGGGCTTCTCAGACGCGTAATCTGAAGCCCCGCCCCCGAGCCGAGCGTGCGTCGTGACGTTCATTACGTGAGTACGTCCGCATTTCCGCGCTGCGCCATTTCGGAGCGGATCTGATCCAGGAATCCGACACATACGGTCAGAAACACACGGTAAATCTGCGTTTATTCGCTGTTATTATCTTCCAGTGCGCACGATTCTGTTGTTTTGTGATGTTTAATTGCGAGCGCTCGGAGACTGAGCTGCGTTTTAAAGCTTAATTAGCGTTTTTGCGCGGGCGCCATTTTACTGCTGACCCGGATTAGCGATTAGCCGCTTACCTCGAGTCTTTAATTACACGTATTAGTTTAACAGCGATCTTAATGATATTTACAGCAGCTCCAGCCTGTTTTACCCGTTAAAGAGCTCGCGTGTGCTTCACAGAGGTTTGTGTTCAGTCGCGTGCGAACGCCAGGCGCCATTTTGAGCCGCGAACAAAAGCAGAAGACGCTCTGTTTACATAATTACCTCCATCCTGGAGCCGACGCCCACGTGATGACAACCGCAGGCGCAGCAGCCCCGCCCCCAGGCGCAGGTAAACCTGTTTTCCCGCTCGGCTGTCTCTCCGTAGGTTGTGTTCCAGAGGAAACTAACCTGATTCCGCCCCTCCCGCCAGTCCTGGAGGCTCCGCCGGTGCCGGGTGTCCCGGTTCAGACGAGCGTCTGCCGGAGATCTTTCGCTCCTCCATCTTCATTGTCATTGATATCCATTAAACAATGATTGACTGGGCTTCTCAAATTCTGATATTTTGTTGAAATGCAGACCAGTAAGTGATTATTAGGTTAATTCCATGAAAAAATATCTGGGTTAGGTTTCACTCCAAAATTAAACGCTTTTGGCTTGTTTTTTTGCATTGTGACTTGGCACGCAATATCCCATCGCTGTAACTATCATCCAGCACAAATTTAATTTTACGTTTTGTTGAATTGCTGGCTAATTTATGTGTTTCGTAAATAGTTTTTTTCTTCTAAAAATCGTCTGTTTTTGTGCAAGTTACATTTTCCCATGAGATTGGGTTGAATTATCTTGTGCAAATGCCGATTAGCCTGTTAATACACACATTGCAAACAAATTTAACGTAATATGTATTGTGAAGGATAATTTTACCCTCATATGATGGCAATGAGAGTTACAGCGGTGATTGAGTTAACGTTGTATAAAAATGTGATTAAGTGTCCCTAAGTCTCGTTGCAGAAAACCATCAGTGTCTTCAAGATAGGCTTTGTTTCTCTTGATTTTGGATTGAAACTTGACCCGAACGTTAATTTTGCTAATTTACGAATTGGACGTCAAAGCCCAGTCGCTAGTGTTCAGTAATCTGCTCGGCTCTAGTAATGGTTGGAATATGCAATCTTTTGTTGACTTAACTTTACATGAAGGTTGTTTTTATTTTCTTATCTATATTAATAAAAATGAACCCCGTTGCAGAGTCACCACCATGCCTCTCCTCACCACCCTCTGAGTCAGTCTACTAGTCTTCTTTCAGCATCATGTGACCAGCGTGCCCCAATCAGCTGGCTGGGTTGGTGTCACATGACCCAGGCGTTGCCAGTCGTCAGCTCGCACCAGCCCATTGGTTCCTGAGCATGCCGTTGTCAGCTCCTCCTCCTCCAACCTTAACACCCAATCGGCAGTGGCCCACTTCACATTCCTGACCAATCAGCATTTTACGTTCCCCAATGTCTACACTACCAACCACCAGCAACAGCCTTCGGCTAACCAATAAAAGCAGGAAAAATCCACTACATCCAGCCCCCATCCGCAAGCCAGCTAATCAGCTCGCAGCATCTGGCCTGCACTTTCCCGCCAATTCTGCTCCCCGGCCGCCAGCCGTCCTCCCCTTCGCCTTTTCTAGCTTGTTGAAAACCGAAAAGACTAGTAAGTTTTTCCTGCTTCATACAGTTTAATGCTGAATACAGATGTAAGATGAGGAGAAATCTCCTGTTGAGTTGAAACAAACAGGGTTGGTATGAGATCTGGACAGACGTTGTTAAGCTTAGGCAAGCAGACTGATGGGGAGCCCAAGCGGAGGTTCAGGTTACAGAAGCAGCGTGGGCTTTGAGAGCTGCTCTTGCTTTCTTTCACTGTCTTCATTCTGTGGGGTTGTTTGCAGTGCGTTTCTGTTGAGTTTTTCCTGCTAGGGCACTACTTTTGTAGCTCTCTGTACTGGAGCGTAACGCTCTTATTAAAGGAGGTTCTCCGAAGCCTCATGTGTTGCGAGGTCTCCACTCCACCCCTGTATCAGGGCGGTGACGAGTGCGTTTGACTGTTAGTTGCAGGGCTTGTGAGGTGCGTCCGTGTGTCGATTGCGCGCTCACTCGCTTTGCCTCTGCTCTTCTTCAGATCGCCCAGGAGGAGGAGCATCAGTCGTAGTCGCAGCAGGTAAGAGTCCGTCGGTTCTCGCAGCTTTCCCGCGTGGCTTTGTGAGCGCTTTCTCAACATCATGTTGTTCTGGATTCTGTCTAGATCTCTTTCTAGAGAGCGCCGGAGGGAGAGATCGCCATCTCGTGAGAGAAACCACAGGCTCTCGCGATCTTTCTCCCGATCAAGGAGGTAAGAGTCTCTACGAATTTTCGGCGAAACCTGTTATGGCGTTGATGTAGGCCATTTAGGCAAATGTTATTTTTACCTCCGTACCATGGATAAAGACTAATCAATAGTGTTTACAAGCGTTAACGGGAAACCGATGTATTTTTGCGCTCCACAAGTGCCACTTACTGTCAGTCAATTGGTATTTTCATTCAACCCATCTACCGTTTTTATTCAGACCAATTATGCATGTAACTTAGTCGCATTTGCATGAAATAAAGCCAGAATTGAGAGAAAAAAAAAGTTAGAATTGCACATTTATATCTCACAATTATGACTTTTATCAGAATTGTGAGATATGGGGCTAGTTGCATCAACTTAGCCTTAAGTATGAGTTTGACCAACTAGCAGTTAGCCAATAAGTAATCCGTCTTATTTTTGGAATTAACTTAGACTAATCTATAAAAATTAGATGACTAACTTGTACGTCCAGTCTAAACCTTTTATGCAACTGGGCCATAAACGTACAATTGCGAGTTTTCTCACAACTCTTGACGCTTCTCGCAATTTCTAGTTTAGATCTCGCCATTCAGACTGCTTTCTCACAATTGTTAGTTTGCATCTTGCCATTCTGACTCTTTGCGAGAAAACTTCAAATCTTTTTATTCAGTGGCGCAAATGGACCTCCATAGAAATTAGAGGCTTATCATTGTATAAAACTGTCAAGTTGTTTAAATTGTGTTTTTTACTGTAATTTTACACTCAAGGATGTTAGTGTTGTTCCAGAAGAACGTTGCTACCTAAACATTTTCACACTACTTCAACTAACGAAATATTATTCCTGTGAGAAATGACGTCGCACATGCTTGATCTTCTCGTTTACAGTCGTTCCAGATCTAATGAACGGAAATGAACGGAGAAGAACGTCGTGACGGAAACCTCGGCACAGAACCAACATGTTGAAAAACTTTGAAAAGACTTTGAGTCCCCCATGTATTTTTTTTTATTAACATTATTTTAGCAGTTCTTTTTTCTTCTGTAGCTGCGGTTGTGCGTGTTTGCAGTTTTAATGCGACGGCATTCCATCTCACACTTTTAAGACTCTTGTTTTTTGGGTTTTGTGGCGGTGAATGTGATTGGTCCTGCTGCGCTGAGCTGGACCGTGTTTGTGATTTCTGTGCGATCGGAGGGGGGAGGTGTAACGGCACTATGACGGCAGCAGGGGGTGGAATCCAGAACAGCTTTCATTCTTGTTTTTTTCCTTGTAGTGTTTGTAATGTTGAACTGAATTAAAACTCATTACAAAAATGCTTTCGTCTCTATGAATTTAAGAATTCTGTGTTTTAAAATAGTAGTTTTAAATAGTCCATTTTACAGTGAAATATATAGTGACAGTTTGTGGAGTGTATTTTAACAGATGACGCATACGTTTTAGGGTTTTTTTTGCCAAATAGAAAATACTATTCCTTGTTTATGTACATTGTAAAAATGATTTTTCGTAGTCTGTACCAAAAAAAAAAAAAGATTGGAATTCGTGTTACAATAAAATACTTTTAGGTTTTCTATCTTAAAATGTCACATCTAATTCAGTGTGGTGCTTGCCTTTTTTGTAATCGTGAAATTTACTTGCAATTATGAGTGATTTGTTTTTCTTGTCAGTGCACTTCACAGAGCATTCGTGTTAATGCGCACGTTTTATGTGAATGAACAAATTCTGTAAAAGTTGTTTATTCTTAGTTAATGCCAACAAAACCTTACTGTAAGGTGTTCTTAAATCTACGTAAGAATGCATTTTTAAAGAAAGACAGCGCTGATGGATTGCGGTTTGCTACGGTGTAGCGGTTAAAAGAATCTTGATACAACCTCGATGTTGCAGGTTCAAATCCTTCATGAGTACTTAAAGATATAAAGAAAATTGTCATTTTAATCACCGCCAAAACAGTAAACACACTAATGAAGAGCACTCATTAATTAAATAGCAGTCTTTTTTTTTAATAGAAAACAGACAGTTAGAAAACTAATCGAGTGCAAGTCTTAAAGGGCCATGTTTTTTTATTAGTTTCTAGAGTTATTAGTTTGTATTTGAACTATTACCTGTATTGAACTAAAACGAGGGACTTAATAAATAAATGATTTTAGTATAAAGTCGCTATGACTTGGGTAATGAGAAGTAACGGCGGGAACAAATTCGTAAATTGTGGCCACGATTTCTTCTTTCTGTTACCCGTTAATCTGGATAATTGTTACAAGAATGATAGCTAGTTATCGTACTCTGAACTCTCGTACTTATATGGAACAGTTCTGATATAAACCCAGAATTCTGACACTTTTTTTGAATTGCAATTATATCTCTCAATTCTGTTTTTTCTTCTTCTTTCAAGCACGAAACAACGTAACAATAAAAAAAGTAATTGTGAAAATTAAAGTAGTAATTAAAAAAGTAGGCCTAATTGCGACTTCTCGCAATTAAATTTTTTTTTTCGTTTGCAATTGCGAGTTTATATTTAACAAATGTGACTTTTTGCTTCAGAATTGCGAGTTTCTGATTGAACTGCGAGATAAAAAGTCGCATTGCTTTGTGTGTGTGTGTGTCTCACTTATAGTTCTGGTACTACTGGACATGTAGGATTATAGTACGGTGACCTGTGCTTCATTGTGTTAAGTATTAATTTTGAAGTGTTTATTTGATGAATAGATGAATAGTTTGAGTAATAACAACTGAGCTCATGAGAAAAAGTGGGCGTGGCTTCATTACTTTTCAGGGACCCTCTTTAATTAGTGTCCCTGCAGCACAAAAGCAGTGTTAAGTCGCTGGGGGATATTTGTAGCAATAGCCAACAATACATTGTATTATAGATTTTTCTTTTATGCCAAAAATCATTAGGATATTAAGTAAAGATCATGTTCCTTGAAGATATTTAGTAAATCTCCTACCGTAAATATATCAAAACTTAATGTGTGATTAGTAATATGCATTGCTAAGAACTTCATTTGAACAACTTTAAAGATGATTTTCTCAATATTTAGATTTTTTTGCACCCTCAGATTCCAGATTCTCAAATATTGTCCTATCCTAACAAACCATACATCAATGGAAAGCTCATTATTATTATTATTATTATTAAGCTTTCAGATGACGTATAAATCTCAATTGCAGTTTAATTCTCAATTTCGGTTTAATTCATTAACAGACAAATATCTAAGAAACAAAACTAACAAATACATAGATACATTAAAAACGCAGGAAGCTGAGAATAAGATAAGTTGTTTCTGGATAATTAAAAGAAAAATGCATACAGTTTTTATTTGATAAGATCCATCCTTTCTTGCAATGTAGCCTAGATTCAGTATGTTAAAGAACTGTACTGTTTTCCTTTTTAATGTAATAATATATATATATGTGTGTGTGTGTGTGTGTAAGATTTGGAAATAAGCAAGGAAAAAAAGCTAAAATATTATTATATAAATATTAGCATATTTAGTTATTTTAGTTTATTTAATATATATATTGTATTATATTCAATGTTTTATTTTGTTACTTTGTGTCCTTTTGTCAATTTGTTGAAATTATTTGTAGCATTAATTTTGTTACTTCAGCTTAAACTCGTGTATAAGGCAACATTTTTAAGTTTACGTTTTTAAAAGTCTTAGAGGAGGCGTCTCGCCGCTGGGGCTTCGACTTAGCCACTGAGACGCCTCTTGTGGGCGGAGACTTCCAGTGGGAGGGCGTGTCCGGGGTCAAGGTGCCCGTCTTGTACCGCGCCGTTTAGGAGGAGCATCCGTCGCTGGGGCTTCGACTTAGCCACTGAGACGCCTCTTGTGGGCGGAGACTTCCAGTGGGAGGGCGTGTCCGGGGTCAAGGTGCCCGTCTTGTACCGCGCCGTTTAGGAGGAGCATCCGTCGCTGGGGCTTCGACTTAGCCACTGAGACGCCTCTTGTGGGCGGAGACTTCCAGTGGGAGGGCGTGTCCGGGGTCAAGGTGCCCGTCTTGTACCGCGCCGTTTAGGAGGAGCATCCGTCGCTGGGGCTTCGACTTAGCCACTGAGACGCCTCTTGTGGGCGGAGACTTCCAGTGGGAGGGCGTGTCCGGGGTCAAGGTGCCCGTCTTGTACCGCGCCGTTTAGGAGGAGCATCCGTCGCTGGGGCTTCGACTTAGCCACTGAGACGCCTCTTGTGGGCGGAGACTTCCAGTGGGAGGGCGTGTCCGGGGTCAAGGTGCCCGTCTTGTACCGCGCCGTTCAGGAGGAGCATCCGTCGAGGTCCAGCGCGGGGAAAGAGAACGCCCCCAGGACCCCGAAGAGATACAGCGTTGTCCTGCAGAACGTGGAGAAAACGCCAGAAAAGAGGACCGAGCTGAAGAGGAAACAGACCAATATCACAGGTGAGGGGGGCGGAGCCAAACAGAAACGCATTCATTAAAGAATCAAAAATCGGTTCGCATGCAGCACGAAGGAAACGGAAGTTATGTTTGGGACTCGGAAATAAGCAGTTAAAAAGAACGAAATATTCAAATGTTATTCGAATTGTAAAGTTTGTGCGTTTATTTTAAATTCGCTTTATTTTTTTAATTTTTCGTATTTATTTTTAATTTTCACTTGTTTTCTTAAATTTAGTAAATTTCAACAAATAGGCTACTAATGTAGCAATTAATTTAACTAAAATACTAAAACTTAAATCAAAGCCTTTAGTATTTCTGTTTGTGTATTTCAGTGTTGGTTTTAGTCATTTTAGTATTTAAACTCAAACATGTTTATTTAATTTAGTATCCAACGCTAAGCAAGTTTTTCACGTTTTTTAATATTACGTTTTTCATCTAATATTTGTATTTTATTTTGATTCGTTTCAGATTTATTTCAATCACCAGAAATCTTTTTGTAGTTTTAGTAACAGTACCAACGGTATGTAATTCATTTGGTGTCATTACGAAACGAACTAGTAACAACAACAACAACAACAATCTGTAATTTATGCTGATTTAAATAATCATAGTATTATCAGCTAATTCTTATCTAATATGAGGGAAAGACTAAAAGAAAGTCACAAAGCTAAATATTTGAATGCATAATGAGATTTTTATTTGCATCAGAATTGAAAGAAAGCTAATTAATATGCGAGTAGTGTGACATGTATTTTTAAAGTTTTAAATGTAATAGTTTTAGAACAGGAGTGAGATATGACTTGGACGTTTTGAGAGATGTTGAATAATAATGTCTGCGTGACTTAGAGTTTGACTAATAATAGAAGCATTCTCATCTCTCTCTCTCTCTTATCCAAACAGATTTCTACCTGGCGAAGAAGAGAGGGGTGGCTGTGTAGCCTGTCAGTGAACTACGGCTGTGTAGTAAATGCCGCTCCATCTGAAAGCACGTGCTGGAGATTTACTACTGATCACAGGAGCGGCTTTACTGACGAGATGCGCGTGAAAATCGCGTTAGATTTTTTGCCCAGCACTACATGTAGCTAATTTTAAAAACTAACGTTTGGTGCCAAATGTGTTTGTTTTTTTTGTTTTTTTACATATAAAAGTTATTATAATTCTAACCCTTCTAAGCTGACAGCATGTTCTCGCACAACTCTCATAAAGGAGCTACAATTACATTTTTACAACGTAAATTAATTGACAAACGCTTGGCGTCGTTCGTGAAGCACGAGCGGAATGAATTCTCTACGAATTCTTTGTAAATTGCATATGAATGTTTTGCTCAGAAATTGGTTCTGCTCGTGAACGCCGCTGCAACTACAGCATATTTACAAACACTCAGTTTTACTTGTAGTCACGGAAATACAAGTAACGTTTGTTTGAAATAAACGCAATCACAGATACGAACGCTGAGCTTTCCACATTCACTAATTGAGATGCTGGATGTATTCAGTTTCTCAAGTTTCGCATTCCAGCAAACGTTCATTGAATCTGTTCTTGCTTTGTGATCGTTCTCATATCCTGATACTTGTAGATTTCTGCGACCTGTCTGTAAATATCCTGTTAATATCCAGATTATTCGCCGTCGATGGAAAATTGCACTTATTATTTTGAGTAGTGTATCTTGCACAGGTCTGTTATTGTTAAAGAGCTCAGAATATATGGTGTATTTATTTATTTTGTAGATTGACATGTAATTGTAATAAAGCTGTTTATAAAGAGAAACTCTGGCATGTGCAATTGATTTCTACAAATAAATAATTCCTTTAAATATTCAATCTTTTGAGTCCATACAAAACATGCATTTTGTGATAACACTACCCACCTAACGGAACGTTTTCAGAACGTTCTTGCAAGGTTCTCTCAAAGTTATGAACAAACGTTCTTACAGTAACTTTGATAGAACGTTTATTCAGAATTATGTAGTCGTTAATAATGTTCTCAAAACGTTAGCAGAAAAACATCGTACATCATTCATGGAACCGTTTCTGAAACATTGGTTGGATGTTCATCTAACATTTTTTTAAATGTTACTGCTTGTTTCAGAACGTTGAGGGAACATTCAAATTTAACGTTCACATAATGTTTGCAAAATGATCAAATGGAATGTTCCAATGCTCCAAATGTACTTCTAGGTCTGTGTTTCTGCTAGTGTGTTACTAATGTAGTGCTAATCGACACTTTCTCTGGACTGGTAAGTGAATCAAGTAAATAAAGCTAACGTGTTATGTTAAAAGTCAATGTGAAACGGAATTTTACTTCCATCATGTGATGTCGAATAACCTGTATTTAAAAATACAAGTATCCCAGTGTTAACGCTTTTTTCTTTATTGCAATTTATTAAATGGCGTTAAATTACTGCGTTAATTAGCTAGATTCAGGAAACAAAGACTTCATAGATATCCAACTATTAGTTACCGTTTTTAACGTTAACGTTGCTTGGGTTACGTAAAGGAGGCGGAGCCAGTTCTGAATTAGAATTTTGTCTTTAGAAAAACAATTGTTCACAATCAGACCAGCAACATTCAGTAAATAAATTAATTCAATAAATGTCGGAATTTCATGTTGACGTTTGCGTATTTTAAACCTTTATTTTTGCATTGTACGCACATTTCTGTTTCCCATTTGTTAACAGATGCGCACCGAGGGACGAATCAACCTTATTGTAATGCTAGAGAAGCCATTTGTGTTATTTAAAGCAAAATATTCCTTTAAATAAGAAAAGAGTAACCTCAGCTACGCGTCACACGCGTGTAGCGTGTAGCTCGAGTTTATGTGTGTGGCACACCCAGTTGTTATGAAGCTTGTTGCTATGAGACTGACGTCAGCGTTTCCCATCAGCCCCTCTGTCTGTTTGGGACATGTCTTGTCCACTCCCCCCCCCCCCCCCCACCTCCCCACACACTCATGCATGCATATCCATTAAAAATGTGTTTATCACTGTGATACACACACACACACTCATAGACACATAGACAGTTTAAGCTGTGAGTGTGTGTGTGTGTGTATCACTGCTGCAGTGTGTGTGTGTGTGACGCATGCTCCGCTGAACTCCCCTCCCCCTCTGCTCATCTGCTCCGCAGCCTCGTCGAAACACTCAGACAAACACACGGCCGGAGAGACGAGAATACTGAGATACAGGCGAGACAAAGATGAGAGACATGAAACCGCAGCCGATATTGACTCTAGCATGAACCATGACAGACTGGAGCGAGAGATAGACAGCTAGAGGAGAAGGGGAGGGGTGAACAGACACAGAGAGAGAGAGAGACAGGAGGGATATGGCCCTCTTACACGTCTCTGCAGTCAAGCTGCACACCCTGGACTGAAGACTATGGTAATTTATCGCAAATTAATCTTCTGTTCCTGTGTTGTACCATCCATCCATCCATCCATCTATCCATCATCACCCGTCTGTCTCTCTCTCACGCACTGTTCTGCATGTCACAAGTCAGCTGCAGATTTGTTCTCATGTGTTTAACTCGCCCACTGTCATCTGACACACATCCCTGATTTACGCTGCATGCATGTGTGTGTGTGTGTGTGTGTGTTTGCTGTCCCCCATCGCTCATCTCCAACCTACTTTCTAAATGCGTCCATCATCAGCGGCCTGTAGATCGCACACACACGCGCATGCTCTCAGCAGGTGACATGACTCAGATTCACATGTGTTAAAAGATGCATGGACTGCGCTAACCTTTAGAGGAGCCCTGCTGCGTGCGTGTGCATGCATGTGTATGTAACACAACAAACCTGGTCTCAGAGAGACACGCATACCATGTGTGCAGGTTGCATGCATGTGAAGATGCATGGCCTGCAGTAACCTCTCGTGAAACTCTGCTGTGTCAGTGCGACTCTGAACACATTTCATGCATGTGTGCATTTTGTCATGCATGATGCATGATTATTTGTTTACAGTTGAGGTATTGCAGGTTGAGATTTGCTTTGTATCGTGCGTGTCATTCATTCATCCAGCTTGTTTTGGGAGTGAATTGCGACGTTGCATTTATGAATGATTCATTTCAGATGCATAGTTACTATCCTACAGTGTGCTGTCTATCGTGCACCGAGGACATGCGCTTACTGTTTCAGATTGTTTATACGTTTAGTGTGATGGTGTGCACGTAGAGATATTTTCAGAACGAAAGTGGGTCACACCATGTCTCTCTCACTCTGAGCGTGGGAGTTTTTGTTCAGCTTGTAAACAGACGTGACCACTCACTCAAATGACAGAGGTGTTAAATAGTGTGGTTTCATATCAGATGTTTAAGTGGCATGTCTCAGCATGACAGCGCAACTTATGTTTTCATTGTGTGCATGCAGCTGGATAAAAGCGAAGTGTCCACTCTCAGTCTACCGCCCTCCGTGAGCCACGGCGGGTCAGACGGGAACATCAGCGTGGAGGCAGGGTTAGACGGGGCAGGCGGCGAGGTCCAGAGAACACGAGCGGCGCTGGAACACCTGCAGCAGAAGATCCTGAAGATCACCGAACAGATCCGCGTGGAACAGGAGGCCCGTGACGATAATGTGGCCGAGTATCTCAAACTGGCCCACAATGCGGACAAACAGCAGGCGTTGCGCATCAAACAGGTGTTTGAGAAGAAGAACCAGAAGTCTGCGCAGATTATTGCACACTTGCACAAGAAGCTCGAGCACTACCACAAGAAACTCAAAGAGATCGAGCAGGTAATTTCACATGCATGCGCGTTTTGTCCAACTGCATTTTCTAGAGCGGGGATAGGCAACGTCGGTCCTGGATTGCCACTGTCCTGCAGAGTTTAGCTCCAACCCTAATCAAGCACACCTGAAAAAGCTAATCGAGGTCTTCAGGATCACTAACCCTGCGTCCCAATGTTCATACTGTCCACCCTAAATAGTATGTGAGAATAGAATAAGTGTGTCCCAAAGCATAGTATGTTGAAAAGAGTATGCCAATGGTCTACTCAGGGGCGCCGTAAGGGGTGGGAGGGTTAGGACAATTCCAAGGGCCCGGCGTTAAAGGGGGCTTTTACCGAGGGGGGCCCCGAGTAAATATACTGTTCAGGGGGCCTACAAACCATAGAGGCGCCCCTGGGTCTACTATTTCAGGTCGATTTTTGAAGTGTGGATCCGTCCACACTCTAATGGCTAATATTGCCCACAATCTATTGCGCTTTGGCAAAGGATTCGGTCCAGAACTACTAAAACGAATAAAATGCATTAAAAAACTACAAATGTGTGCGATCGACGGTTAGGTAGAGAGGTTTAGATAAAGGGGTTTGAGTTACTAATAATTAACATTTAACCTGGTATCTGTGTTATATTTCATCTGCAACAGCAATGTGAACTTTTATAAACATCCGTTTGGTCGTTAACTTTTAAATGCATCATTATGCAGAAAATATGAGCAGAGATCTCGGCATGAAAGACGATTAAAAAAAATCGATAGAACATAGTATCACGATATTTTCCACAGCAATACTGTATCAATACACGGACGCCAAGTGTCGATCTTTTATTATACTATTTGGTAGAATAATAAAATCAATTTCTTTACAGTCCACTAGATGGTGGTGTTGAGTTTTTTTTCTGGTGAGGTCAGCTGGGTCACCTTCAGCATGCAGTAAGTTAGTAAAATAAAGATGGCGGCATCGCGAAAAGTTATCAGGAAAACCGTGTTTAAAGTCTGCGTTATTTATTCATTTTAAATTTAACAGTAATTTGGTTACACTTTATTTCGATAGTCCACTTTAGACACTCTACAACTACAAGTAACTTTGTAACTACATGTGAACTACATGTCAACTAATTCTCATTCATTTCCAACTACATGTCTACTAACTCTCAGAGTAGACTGCTAGGACAGGTTTAGGGTTAGTAGAATACGTTCACATGTACTTACAAAGTTTCTCATAGT